AAGACTCAATTTTGCTAATACATTCCAATACAGCTGAACTTGTTCTCATGACCATCCACTATAATGAACGTGGGACAGATGAAGTAATAAGACCTCTGAAAGGGAGGTAACTGAAATGAGAATATCTTTCTTTCTTTTTTTCAGGAACTATATGCACAAAGGAGCCTGATCAATCCAATGAAGTAAAAACATTAGGTAATTTGAGTCCTGAGCAGAGATTAGATAATGGTCTTGGATGGGACCTTGGGAACAGTCATGGGAGATGAGGCATCATCCTGTTGAGATGGTCTTTGGGGAATATCTGGTTTGTGTGAGTGTTGTTTTGCTCCTGAGTCACAAAGCATGGGTTGTAGGGCTGGCCTTGGTCTGGGCTCCAGGCAAAGTTATGTACTTACCCTTGTAAACTGTGGTATTCAGTATAAGCATTGCTGCGATTTATGTCCACGCCTTTATGACCCCACTTTTGGAAATGACTCCAAATCTGAGTTCCAGGCAGCTGTTTCATGTCCACCCACAGCAAAGCAACAGATAGATGACGTAGGGGCGGCATGAGAAATGGTTTGTGAATGCCCAAATCTTGTTCTCTTGAACATATATTTTTGTTTGAAGAATGGGTTGATTCATATGTGTTTAAGAGAGGACCAAAAAATACTCTAATATAAGAAAATCAAAAGTTGTGTAGACATACCCTCTTCAATCACGTGGCATTGAGAAACTGTGGCTGTTGGTCTCTCCTGCCTTTGCTTTCTTCTCAGCTGCTACTATCTGAGAAGACTTAAGCCCATGCCTGACGTTGAGTCATTTCTGGCTGAGGCTATGCATAGGGAGTTTGGAAATGTCACATTCCCAGACCCACATTTTAGGAACCAAGTCACTACTTTTGGGCTCCTACGTTGACCTAAATTCTTCCCTTTCAGCCAGATCTGCGATATCTGGCACCAAGAATAAACCTGGGTGCCCTTGTGGCCCCAGAGCCACAGTTCTCTCTATGTTGGCCTTTCTCTGTATGTTGGCCCAAGTCCCAGAGGTGAACTGTTATCCCTGTTTCCCCTCGTAAATTCTGACTTATTGTTCTGCCTGGATTTCTGCTTCTTCCTCTAGCACTAGGTACTCTACCCAACTTTCATCCACCCTTGTCCCTTCTTTCCACCATGGGGTGATCTGTGATGCCAGCTCATGGAATGACTGTGCCATAGGAAGGCACATTTGCCTTATTGGACCCTCATATTGATTCCTGTTCACTTAAGTCAGTGTCTCTCAATAGGAGTGTTACGACCCCCTAGGAGATATATTGGAAACTCCAGGGGGCATTTTTGATTGTCACAATTATTAGGAGAGGCACTAGTGACGTTTATGGAGAGGAACCAAGGATGCTGGCTATTTGATCATGTGCAGCACGGGCAGTACACCAACAAGTGTGGTGTGTCCTGTGCAACCTTCAAAAGTCACACTGGACATTTGTGCGGAAAAACCTGTTTATAATTATCTGGCTGTGAAACTCAATCCCATTTTACTTGGAAATACAAGTTACTTCTGCATATTTTAATATACACTGACTTTTCTGCAAACACCTCCTAGGCATTTTTAAAGGAAGAGAAGATTGCACTGTATTTGTTCAGAACTTTACCAACAGTAGTCACAATTTCAGAAAAGCACTTCGCTGCCAGCAATTTGCTCTTGTAATTTGAGTTGTCCGCACACGTGTCTCTGTCTCCATTTGTCTCTGTCACGTTCACTCAGATCTCAAAGCAACTGCTTCATTCTGCCTGCTAGTTAGTCATCCCTAACTATTAATATACTCCAGTACATATTATTTAATTATAAATTATTCCTCTTCTACCAGTAATTTTCCTTTATCTTTATAGTTAGGACATTGTATTGACTTTTAGAAATGTGTATAGAAGGTTTACAACTTGTGAATTTCTTTTCAGAATAATAAATGGGACCTAACAAAACATTCACTTAAAAATAGGTCATTGGATCTGATGGGGTTGAGAATCCTTGACCTAAGTGTATACTGTGGTACTGTCCATGGAAGGCAGAAAAGGACTGAAGAGGAGGTCGGTGCATTCCTGGAAGAAGGCTGTAGCTACCTACCAGGAGGTCTCATGGGTAGCATCCCCTTGAGGAACTAACCACCTTCCAAATTCCAGTGTTTACTCTCATCAGGTTTTCAGAAGTTTTCAGAATCCAGGGTCACTTGAATCACTCAAATCCATGAGGTTACTCATAGCCATAGTACAAGTTTACAGTGGGAGACATTTCTTCCCAGGGACTGAAAAGCTTATGTCCACTGCCCAGGGCAGCCAGTCCCAGGATCAGAATGAACACAGGATACTGAAGAGAGATGAGAAGAGGCGCTCCTGTCCCATAGCAACCACAAAAGGCAGGGTCTCTCCTTGGCATAGGGCTTGGGTGTGCACTGCCGAGTTAGGATGCCTTGGGTTTTTATTTCCTGTAGTCCAAGGTGACCACTTCCCCTCTGCCCACACCCTCACCCACCTTCACACAGTCTTCCCCCAGGCATGGTACAATTCAATTGATTAAATATCTTCTACGAAATGACATTCACATTCTGGACCTGCCTTCCTCTGATTACATCTGGATTGCCTCCCTTGATTGGAGTTTCCTGAGAGCCACACACTTCAGACAGTCTCTTGCTTTACTCCCACAGGTGACTAACCACATCCATTGTGAATTTTACTAGTTCAACTCAGAAGGTGACCTTATGTCCCTGATCTCCAAATTCATGGAGAGGGAGACCTCCCACTGTTGCTTCCATATTCTGCCAAAACTGATGTCAGAAATGAGGACGGAGTCTGTCTCAGCCTCCTTTCCTGCTCTGCACCAGTCCTATAGCTAGGACAGTTCTCCTGATTCTCAACTCAATTTGATAGAGAATATTCCTGCCTCACTCCAGCTCCCCACTGACTCCCCTCCACCCCCCCGGGTGGCAAAGTTTCAGCACAGATCAAACTGGAGACCACCTGAATTATGGCGATAACTGATTACGGTTCAGAATAGATAACATGGGCATCAGGATATTTGGTTTTGGGGGGTTTTGTTTGTTATTTATTGTTTTCGAAGGTACGGTGATTTCACTCATATAGACTGGTCAGAGATGGAATGATGAGCTAATTAACTGAACAGTCTAGGTAATTAAGAGATAGTATATATAACATAGATGAACAATGTTTTTGTTTGTTTGTTTTTTGTTTTTTTTGCGGTACGCGGGCCTCTCACTGTTGTGGCCTCTCCCGTTGCGGAGCACAGGCCCCGGACGCGCAGGCTCAGCGGCCATGGCTCACGGGCTCAGCGGCCATGGCTCACGGGCCTAGCCGCTCCGCAGCATGTGGGATGTTCCCGGGCCGGGGCACGAACCCGCGTCCCCTGCATCGGCAGGCGGACTCTCAACCACTGCGCCACCAGGGAAGCCCCTGAACAATGGTTTTTGAAGAATTATTAATGAAATACAGTTAATTCAAAATGTATATTAACTATAATTGAGTTTTTTTTCATGGTTCAGAAGGGAAAATTTCAGGAAAGTATGCTTGCGCCGCACCCACCTCTCATGATTATATTACAGACTGAAATAATTGTTTCCTCACACTTTTCATCTCAATCACCCAAATCCTCTCAGTCTTATCAGTGTTCTCCGTGCTCTTTGACTTCCCAGAATTGAAATGTTCAGTATTATTTCTGCATCAGTAAGAATCAGTCACCGTAACCTCCTTGTAGCTTCAGCTCATTTTTGCATTACTTTCATTAACTTTTTTGATTGAGTGTGAAGAAGCTTCCCTCACCAAATCAAGAATTTATGTTAGTGTATAACTGTAAGGCTTTAATTTAATGCCAGCCATTCTTCTTCATTAAAAGAAGATACAGTAAATATAGCACAAGTTCATAGCTTTCTCCAAGAACTTTTAAATATTGAATGAACACTAAACTGAAATTTAAGTGTAAGAAATATTTTAAATTGTACATCATTTATTCATTCATTTAATTATGCATTACATGAAACATTTGTTAAACATCCATCATGTGGCAGACATTGTATTAGGCGCTGGAGATACTAAGATAGTAAGTCATGGTCCCAGTTCTCAAGGAGCTCGTAGTTTAAAAGAAGCGAGACAGGTAAGTAAAAATACGAGTTCAACTCAGTGAAATGGGTACTACATGGAGGTTTGCTGATGCTCAGTTGTGGCACAAATGAACTAAATGATCAACTCAACTTAAAACAGAGGGCTACAGGGACTTCCCTGGTGGTCCAGTGGTTAAGACTCTGTGCTTCCACTGCAGGGGCGCAGGCCTGATTCCTGGTTGGGGATGGGGGTGGGGGGAGCTAAGACCTCACATGCCCCTCGGCGAGGCCAAACTAAGATTAAAAAAAAAAAAAGAAGGCTACAAAAGGTTCACAGAGGAAGATGCTTATAACAAGTTTTGAAGGAGAGGTAGAAATTTTCCTGCTAGAGACAGCAAAGAAGGACATTTCAGAAAGATGGAAGAGTGTGTGCTAATGTAAAGAGGCAAGTAACAGTAATTGTACTTTGTTCCCAATAACTGGGAATTAGAAGCAGTTCTAATTATGGCACTAATGCCTAAGACGAGACCTTATAGGAGACAGGGCTGGAAGGGCTAGATCCTAAATGGTATTGAATACCTTGATAAAAGGTTTGGATTTCATTCAGTTGGCAGTCGGCAGTAATTGGGTGCTAACTGTGGAAGTGACATGATCAGATCTGTGGTAAGAAGACCACGATTCTGTGTAGATGGATATATGGTAAGATCAGAGGTAAAGAGTGTAGCTGAAATAGTTGGCTGACTACTGAATATTCATGATGCAGGGAAGCATTTGCTCCACCAGTGTCAACATTTCCTAGATCTTTCCAGGTGGAACCCTGTGGCTAGCTCTGGCTAAAGGAATGTGAGTAAAAGTGTATAGGGCATTCTGAGCCAAGGTGGTTAAGTGAATCTACCTCATACTGTCTTCCCTTCCACAGCAGCTCTGGAGGCCTCATTGTGAAGATGTTTGTGTCACAAGATGGGAGGAACCTGGATCCCTGAGTCAGAGAAGAGGTGCCCAGGAGAGCCACCCAACCAAGAACACCTACACTGAACTCTGCATGAGTAAAAAAATAATTTGTGTGTGTGTTAAGCGTCAGATATCCAAATATTGTTAACACTGTTAGATTACATCAATCTAACTAATCTGACTAATGCAAAAGGAGTATTAGGAGATGTTTGCAATATTTGAGATAAGATAAAGACTTTCTATATTATATGCTGAAGTATAGGAGCCCTTGGAGAAGACAAGTGGAAGATGGAAGAAAGAGGGATAATAATTTATGGATAATATTGAGAAGGCAGGAGGAGATAGGATCCAGAGCATAAGAAGCATTAGCTCCTTCAACAGGAGGCAGGAAAGAGGGATGCCTATTTAAAACAGAAGGGAAGACACATCTATAGGTGAGCAGTAAGAAGCCACCTAGTTTTCTCTAAGACAGAGGAGGTAAAGACATCTGCTGAGAGAGTGAAAGGATAGCAATAAAGGTCCAAGACAAACAGTAATTTCTGTGAAGAACAGGAGAGAGCTGGGCAGAGATATTTAACAAGTGAAAGGCCACCAGCCCACATGGTTGGATGAATTTTCTCCAGCCCAGCTCATCATTCTGGGTGTAGGGGGAAGATAGGTGGATTTTAGGATTGATCCAAGGTTAAAGGATTGCAGAGTAGATGCATTGCAAGAACAAAGGAATGGTGGAATTGGCTCAGTAAGTTAGGATAGGCCTAGCTGCTGTAACCAGGGACCCAACAGTAATTCAGTGGTTCAAACAATATAGAATTTTCCAATTCCAGGTACAATGGAGTATTCCACAATGGATGCAGCTAAAAATAAAGCAAAACAAAAACCTGGACATAATATATAGAGAAGATTTTTGAGAACTCTGAAAATTAAATAGTAGTTGGTGATTGGGGAAGAGGACTAGAATTTGAAGTACCATCAAACTGGTAGTGAGTTTGTCATCTTTTTGCTCCAATAAGCAGCATAAAACCTGAATGTGGGCATCTGCACAGAGGGAGCTCCAGGAGAATCCCTCTACCTCTGGCTCAAAGAACAGAGAAGAGTCTCCTAATGCTCTGAGAGAGGGGGGGAAACCCGCCTTTTTTCTTTTCTCCATTCTCTCACACGCCAGCCCCTAAGAAATCCCATGGTGGCAGTGGCAGCATCTGTAGTGACGGTTGGACCTGCAGGATTCTAAAATGCTGAGGGAGGGGAACCTTTGTCTCTGATCAGAGGAGCTGTGATCATCTGTGTGGGACAGACCCCTGTTGCTTTTTGTTTTCTCTCTGCCCTCCTGCTGGTTGATCCTGGACATCAGTGTAATTGCAAAAACTGTGCAACAGAGTCAATAAAAAGCTCCAACTTTCTGGTTGGAGAATTCCAGGTAACCAGAAAGTACTGAAGAGATTGCCACAGGGAGGAGATTGGGAAAGCAACCCCATAAAGTTGCTTATGAATTCTTGGGCCCACTTCCAAGTGCATATGCCCATGCCCATGCTGACTCCAAACAGCATACAAGTTTAAGAACTGAACTTAAACTTGTTCTAATAAGAACTTGGAATTCTTATTAGATACTATGGAGGACAGAAAGAAGTGAAACAACATTCCTAAAGTGAAGAAAGAAAAAACACTGCCAAGCCAGAATTCTATATCCAGCAAAAATACTTTCCGGAGGGAAGGTGAAATAAAGACATTCTCAATGAAGGAAAACTAAGAGCCAGCAGACCTGCCCAAAAATAATTGCTAAAGGAAGTCCTTCAGACTGAAGAAAAATTATACCAGAGGAAGGAAACTTGGGATATCAGAAATGAAGAGAGAGCAACAAAAATAACAAATACATAGGTAAATATGAGAGTATTCTTCTCCTCTTGAATTATTTAAAATACTTTTCTAAAGCAAAAATTAGAAAATATCTAGAACTGAACAAAAATGAAAATACAACACATCAAAATTTGTGGATGCAATTAAAGCATTGCTTAGAGAGAGATTTATAGCATTAAATGCTTATATTGGCAAAGAAGAAAGTTCTCAAATCAACAATCTAAACTTCCACCTTGAGAAGCTTTTAAAAAGATGAGCTAAATCAATCCCAAATAGCAGAAGAATGGAAAAAATAAAGATAAGGGCAAAAATCAATGAAATTGAAAACAGAAAACCAATAGGTAAATATCAGTGAAACAAAAAACTCAATAAAACTTGATAAATCTTTAGCCAGACAAGAGAGAAAGAGAGAGAGAGAGCATGAGGGGAATGTGGGAGGATGGCAGTAGGCAGGGATTGCCAATATCAGGAACGAAAGAGGAATATGACTACAGATCCTATAGACATCAAAAGAATATTAAGGGAATACTATGAAGAACAACTCTACACGCAAAAATTCAACAACTTCAATTAAATTGACTGATTTCTTGAAAATTACAAACTATGAGATGTACTGAAGATTAAATAGATATTAAAGAGATTGAATTCATGATTTAAAATCTTTCAAAAAAGAAAGCTCTAAACCCAGATGGTTCCACTGGTGAATTTGCCAAATGTTTAAAGAATAACTAACATTATTTCTACAGTTTCTTCCAGAAAATATAAGATGAGGGAACAGTTCCCAACTTACTTTATAAAAGCAGCTTTACCCCGATACCAAAACCAGACAAAGATAGTACTAGGAAAGAAAACTGGAGACTAATATACCATATAAACAGAAACACAAATATTCCAACAAGATATTAGCAAATTGAATCCAGTAATATATAAAAAGAATAAAACACCACAATCAAGGAAGTTTATCCTGGCAATGCAATGTTAGTTCAATATTTCAAAATTATTCAGTATAATCCACCATACTAATATCAAAACACAGCATTAAGAAAACGAATAGGTGAACCACAGGTAGAAAGAAAATATTTGCAAAACAAAATCTCTGATAAAGGACTTGTATTCAGAATATATAAATAGCTCTCAAGACTCAACAAAAACAAATTGGACAAAAGATTTGAGCAAACATTTTACCAAAGAAGCTATATTGTTGGCCCACAAGCCCATGAAAAGATGCCCCAAATTGTAGTCATTAGAAAAATGCAGATTAAAACTACAGTTTAGCCAGTAGGATAGCTGAAATTAAAAAGACTGACAATATGAAGCCTTGGTGAATATGGAGAAACTGGAATCCTCATACGTTATAAGCAAGAATGCAAAGTGGTACAGCCACTTGGAAAATCAGTTTGGCAGTTTTTTTTAAAGTTAAACATATATGTACCATGTGGTCCAGCGATTTCACTCCTAGATATTTACCTAAGAAAAATAAAAATATGTCCTCACAAGACTTGTATTTGAATATAGCATAAGCATTCATAATAACCACAAATGGTAATAATACAAATGTTCATCATCTAGTGAACGGGTAATCAAAATATAGTATATCTATGCAATAGAATATTACTCAGAAACTAAGAGGAATGAACTACTGATACACATAACAGCATGGATGAATCTCAAAAGCGTCATGCTAAATGAAAGAACCTAGTCACAAAAGTCATAACATACTATATGATTCCATTTGTATGAAATTCTAGAAAAGGCAAAACTATAATGACCTGAAGCACATCAGTGGTTCCCTGGGGGAAAGGATGTACTGCAAAAGGGCAGAAGGGAGCTTTCGGTGAGTGAAAGAAGTGTAGTGAAACTGGATTGTGGGGGGCTGGCTGCATGACTCTGTACATGTATGCATGCAATTTACCAAAATGCATCAAACTATACATCTAAAATGTAGGTGAATGTTATTACATGTAAATTATGCCACAATACAGATGTAAAAATTAAAATGAAGGTTAAGTAAAGATGTTTCCAGACAAACAAAACATGAGAGAATTCAATGCTAGCAGCTGTAAACCAAAAGAAACACCATGAAGTTCTTCAGGCTAAAGGAAAATGATATCAGATGTTAGCGTGGAAGAGCACTGGAAAGGGTAAATTTGTGGTTAAATGTACAAGAATGTTGACTGTTTACATCAAAACAATAATAACCCCATTTGTAGAACTAAAATACAATGGTAACAATAGCTCAAACTGTGGGAGGGTGATAAATGCAGTTTAACTGTTCCAAAGTTTCTTGCCTTATTTAGGAAGTGGTAAAATCAAAAGTACTTACTTAAGGTAGACTGTAATACATCAAGAAGGCATATTGTAATCTCTAGGGTAACCACTAAAAGAACTATTGTAAGAATGTGTAACTAAAACGTGAATAAAGAAGAAAAATGGAATAATTAAAAATGTTTTCATAATCCAAAAGAAGGCAAGACAGTTGGACCCCCAGGAACCTGTTGAGATCGCGGGCCTGATCCTCTGCCCACCTAGGCCCCTGCCAGCTGCACGGGTCCTGGGGGAGTGGGAGGGAGGGAAAGGGGAGCAAAAGTAAAGGCCGGACCTCCGGGACGGCACCCCTGAGTGGTGGCTGGGGAAGGGAAGGAGTTCCTACACCCAGTGGGACCCACCCACGGTTCGGGGTCCAGCAGGGATGGGGTACACCCTGGAGGAGACAGTGGGGGGGAGCGTGAAGGAACAGAAGGGAATGAGGTGAGTGCTTCACCTGTCCACTTAGGCACTGGGAAGGCTGTTGGGCTCCCAGGCCTAATCCTCTGCCCTTGGAGCCTCCTTCCTGCTGTGCAGAGCACAAGCCCCGCCCCTACACCCCCACCCAGGGCCACACCTCTACACTCAGAGACCCCTTCCCACAAGCTGGGCTTAAACCCTACCCACACACCCTCACTCAGGGCCCTACATCCAAACTCTGGAGCCCCACACTCCAGAGGCCCTTCTTTCCATGTGCTGTCTCTCCCCTTCCATGCAGGTCCTAAGCAGAGGCCCCGTGCCATGCTCAAACTTAACCCGCCACCTGCCTAGGTCCCACCGCACCCTAAACCCCACCTCTGCCTAAGTTCCACCCCCCACCTAAACTCCACCTCCACACCCAAGGCTTTTTTTTTTCCTCTTTTAGATTGGGGTTCTGTTTTACCTTGTTGATTCTTTTTTATTTTTCCTAATAAATCTTTTACTTTTCTAATTTTATTCTTTATACTTTGTTAGTGATCTCTC